CACTCCCCAGCTACTCTGCGTACTAAAGTTGTACTACCAAGTCGCCACTTCTCAGCTTCCAGCTCCACAGCTACTCCGCGTACTAAAGTTGTACTACACAGTCGCCAGTTCTCAGCTTCCAGCTCCACAGATTGCTCCGCGTACTAAAGTTGTACTACAAAGTTACCAGTTCTCAGCTTCCAGCTCCCCAGCTACTCCGCGTACTACAGTTGTACTACAAAGTCCCCAGTGCTCATCTTCCAGCTCCCCAGATACTCCGCGTACTCAAGTTGTACTACCCACTCGCCAGTTCTCATCTTCCCACTCCCCAGCTACTCCGCGTACTACAGTCGCACTACCACGTCTGCTACCCAGCTACTCTGCGTACTAAAGTTGTGCTACCAAGTCGCCAGTTCTCATCTTCCCACTCCCCAGCTACTCCGCGTACTACAGTCGTACTACCACGTCGCCAGTTCTCAGCTTCCAGCTCCCCAGCTCCTCCGCGTACTAAAGTTGTACTACAAAGTCGCCAGTTCTCCACAGCTTGCTCCGCTCGAATCGCACTCTCGCCTGCGTTTCGCGCACTCGACACGCACGATCTCCGCAGAGGGTCGCGCGGTAATTTCACAAATCGCGCTCTTGCCTGCATTTCGCGCACTCGACACGCACGATCTCCGCAGAAGGTTGCGCGGGCACCCGGCGAATCGCACTCTCGCCTGCATTTCGCGCACTCGACGCGCGCGATCTCCGCAGAGGGTTGCGCTGGCCCCCGGCGAATCGCACTCTCGCCTGCATTTCGCGCATTCGACACGCACGATCTCCGCAGAGGGTTGCGCGGGCACCCGGCGAATCGCACTCTCGCCTGCATTTCGCGCACTCGACACGCACGATCTCCGCAGAGGGTTGCGCGCGCATGGGACAAATCGCACTCTCGCCTGCATTTCGCACATTCGACACGCACGATCTCCGCAGAGGGTTGCGCGGGCACCCGGCGAATCGCACTCTTGCCTGCATTTCGCGCACTCGACACGCACGATCTCCGCAGAGGGTTCTTGGGTTTTCTAAGGAGGGCTCGCCCAGGTATAACATCAGGAGTGGCAGGTGTCAATCAGAAATCTCATCAAGTCAATGGAATATGCCTTGAAACAGTTGCAGGTACACAGAGCTGATCAGGTAGGTGGCATGTTTTTGAAGCAGCTGCAGGTACACAGAGCTGATCAGGTCGGTGGCATGTTTTTTGGCACAGCTGCAGGTACACAGAGCTGATCAGACTGGGGTCCTTGCAGGTGTTTGCAAAAGGCATGCAGGTACACAGAGCTGAACAGGATTGAAGTCTTTCCTGCGTTGCCTTTCTTGTTGCTTTCTTTCCTTCATTCCTGACATCTTCGTGGCAACACCCTGGTCCTCCTCATCTTCAAGAACCATCCTCATAATGGTCGTCATCAGAATCATCAACATCATCCTGATCATCATCATACCCATCAGCACCATCATGACCACTCACAAACTCATCTAGAAGAACTGACTTACTTCTGGTATGGGGGATCGCTTTTTCTCCCTTTACATCTCACTCTCCCCAAGCGCTGCTGCGTACCCGAAGCAAGTCTGAAGCGCAGCCATAAAAACTGTGTCTTCACAACAAAGTCACAGTGACACTGCAAAATATGAACTGAGACTCGACAGCAAACCCTGAAATCTCCAACGATTAGTTTGACGCAGGCTGCAGTTGGCTAAATCGGACCCGGGCGCCCAGCTGCGAATCAGCAGGCTTGCGGTAGAGAAGTCATAGATTAAAACAAAAGGTGATCAACCTACACTGTTATTTTTTTTGGTAGTGGAGGGTCCTCAAAATCCTTAATTCAGAGCCGGGCGCCCAGCTCCGAAAGACGGGTTGTAGGGCGCCGCGTGTCAGTGTTTGAAACCCCTGTGGGTGAAAACGACGATGGGTTTTCTTAAGGTCTGCCACTTCTCCAACTTTAGAATTATAGAGTTTGCTTGAGGCACTTCTCCAACTGTGGAGAACCGCCGGGCGCTTTGTCCGCGCGCGCTCCTACGGGTCCGGCGCGAAGTCTCGGTCCACGCCCGTGTCCGTGCTCTGTGTCTTGGTCCGTGCTCACGGTGCTCTGTGTCCGTGCTCTGAGAGATCGGTGTCAAGACATTGGTGCGCTTGCGCTTGAAAGAAAAGAAAAGAAAGAAACAATTAATTAAAAGGGAGTAAGAAAGAAAGAAAGACCAAACAAGGGTCAAAAGGCCTTATAGAAAGAGAGAAAGACATCTTCCTTCTTGCTTCCTTCCTCTTCTTTCTTGCTTGCTTGCTTTCTTTTTTTCTTTCTTGTTTGCTTGTTTGCTTTCTTTCATTCCTTCCTTCTTTCCTTCTTTGCTTCTTTCCTTCTTTCTTCCTTCCTTCCTTGCTTCCTTCCTTCAGCCAGGGTGTCAATGTCCCTTTTGGGTTGTTTAGGTGCAGTGCCATTCAAGGTTTGAAGAAACAATTTCATTTTGTTGTTCCTCAGCGCGCTCTCCTCAGAAAACACAAGGGTTGCGCGCGGACCGGACAAATCGCACTCTCGCCTGCATTTCGCGCACTCGACACGCACGATCTCCGCAGAAGGTTGCGCGGGCACCCGGCGAATCGCACTCTCGCCTGCATTTCGCGCACTCGACACGCACGATCTCCGCAGAGGGTTGCGCGGGCACCCGGCGAATCGCACTCTCGCCTGCCTTTCGCGCACTCGACACGCGCGATCTCCGCAGAGGGTTGCGCGGGCACCCGGCGAATCGCACTCTCGCCTGCATTTCGCGCACTCGACACGCGCGATCTCCGCAGAGGGTTGCACTTTCGGTTGACGCTCTTCGTCCCGCCCTCCGCCTTTAAGAGAGAATTTATAAAGTGGGGAAATGTTTTTTCATTAGGACATCTCCCGTGCTAGTTTTCCATACTCACACTTGCCTACTCATTGCATGCTTGCATGCTCAATGCATGCTTGCGTACCCATCACTTGCATACTTACACTTGCATACTTTGACACTTGCATACTTTGCACTTGGATGCTTTCGCTCTTCCCCTTACACTGTGGTGGAAGTGTCAATGTGTAAGTGTGAGTGTCGACGTGTCAGTGTATGTAGTGCGAATGTGGTGGAAGTGTCAGTGTGTAAGTGTAAGTGTCGAAGTGTCAGTGTTCAAGGGATTTTCCGGAAGAACCCTTCGCAATGCTTTCGGGAACAAATTTATCAGCTGGCTGGTGATCGATTGCCACATTTTTCACTCCACCCCCAATGACGGTGAAGATCAAGCGGTCGAGCGCTCAGGCTTTGACAGCACTATGACACTGCTTGTGCAGGTGCCAGCACCAACCTCAAATACATTAACGTGCAACATGGCTTTCAAGCGGGGATGGACAAAAAACCAATCCCAAACGAGCTAACCCAGGGCCACCCGTCCACTACATCTCCAGCAGCTACACTCCACACAGATGCTCCTGGACACTGGAAGTCTTTGCCCTTCAGGCACTCCATGTGCATAAGTGCCTTGCCTTGGCCTCTATTCAAATTATATAGCTTGTCAACCCCTCGGCCTGACTCGGCCCTGCAAAAATGCGCTGGTGTCAAAAAATATGACGCTCATTAAAGTCAACTCAAGCTGTCAAGCGACTGCAAGGCTCCTGCATTGCGCAGCAAACGTTGCCCAGATGAAGGCCTAGTCTGCCAAGCCAATGATGATGAAATCATTCCAAGCAATTAGCTAGGCCGGCCTGAACCTAGGTGCTCTTTAACGGGGCACTTCTCTCAGGAACGTGGTTCTTCTATCCTACTAGAACAACACTACTGCTGCTGCCAAGATGACATCGACGAGCACCACCACCACCACCACCTATGAAGATTCACTTCTGGTTGAACAATCGCGAATAAAAACGCAAACGTCGAAACCTGCGACTGCGAATAGTCGCCACGTCCACCGCCCCGTTCCCCTGGCGCGCCGCGCTTTCTTTTGCGCAGACACTTGAGCCGCTTGAGCCACGAGTGGTGGCATGGTTCAAGTTGGTACTCTTCTCGATTTGTGCGACGTCCAGTCGCACGAGCGGCCAAAAACAGGTCGAAGACCTGCAGCCTGGTTTGGACTGGATTTCCGGCAAGCATGCTACAACGGAAGGACATGGTTGTCATGCTATATGTAAAGGGTGTCATCCTTTCACACCCCCCCCACAACTATGGCATTCCGTTCAAAAAATGATCATGATCTGCAGTGGTGATAGCAAGCTTGGTTCATACATCCCGATCAGGCCATGTCGGGATTGCAATTCCAATCATATGTTCTGTGACACGTCTGTTCCCAGCTTCAAGAAAAATATCTATGCTCAGCAAAAGAATCTTTCAAGATGCTGCTAGTGAGGTAGTGTCATGGAGAACATGAGCAAAATTGGCACAGGCATTTGGAATTCCTCGACTGTGTTCGCGGATAACCCGCCTGAGCACTGGAAGGACAGATGCTAAGGCACCAGTCCTCTTTGAAACATCATGTTCGAATTAAACCGAGGATAAACCGCCTGAGCACTGGAAGGACAGATGCTAAGGCACCAATCCTCTTTGAAACATCATGTTCGAATTGAACCGAGGATAAACCGCCTGAGCCCTGGAAGGACAGATGCTAAGGCACCAATCCTCATTGAAACATCATGTTCGAATTGAACCGAATTCGGATTCGGTTATCTTGCAAATGGCATGAGATGCCATTTTGGATATTCAAGCTCGGAGATTTGCGTAGCGTTATTCCTATGGAATTGCTGTCATACTCCTAAGTCAAGTTCCTTACCTATCTAATTCACTGAAACTACACACGTTCTAAGCTCCAAGGCACCAGGAGTGGGATGAGTCCCGCGCGCAAACACTCCCGATCGGTCGGGATTGTCTTACAAGTGGAACCGAGGCGCCCAAGCAAATCTGTAAGTGAAATCGAGGCATCTGAAACACAACTGTAAACTTAGAAGACCTTTGCGAAGTTCTCTTTAAGAGGATCACATATTCCAAGGTTCAAACCTAGTTTCTCACAACTTATGGGATTCCAATACACTGGCTGCATGGGGCGACCGTCTTATCATAGCCATCGAGGCAATCCACAGTCCCGTTCAAATTCAAATGGTGCAGAAACCGTGGATGACGCTCGGAAAGCACGAACTTCTGGTCCCTTCGAATCACCCCGCGAGGACAGCAGTTTGGGCAAATCTGCAACCACTGGTACAACTCAGATGGCCTTTTGGCTCGAAGCATTCCACAACTGTTCTTGTGAAAGCAACGCCCGGTCTTCCGGCACACGGAATACGAAACTGCCCTGACCTCGCCATCAGAAGTAGTGGAAGATGGATCCTCGGCTGCTGCATCTGGGCTGTGACTGGGTGCACGTGGTGGTGAATGGTTTGGCGGCTGAGGCCCCCCTTGGTGAGATTCATCCGAGGACAGATGATTGACTTGCTGCCAATCTTCTCCGGCCAGTGCTTGATCAGTGGATGCCTGAGCTATGGAGGAACCCTGTCCTGTGGTTGATGCACTGCTCGACTTCCCTTCTCCTTTCACACAATATCCCTTTGTGGGATAGGATGCTTCTGACTCCTCCCCTTTTCCACCGTTGCCCTTGGTGCTCAAAGCTGGCCCGCTGGAGATGTTTACTTGCAGGTCGGCAGGTGAATCTCCCTCCACAATGATGGTGATGCGAGGATGCGCCGAGTCAAAAATAAAACACAAATGTGGAACGTCGAAACCTCAAGGTCGTGACCGTTTGCTCTGGATGGCAAATCAAGTTCAACCCTGTGGGCGATTTGTGCAATGCGATTTTCAAGCTCTAATTATTGAAACTAGCCGGCATGACATGCAGTGAACTTCAAGTTCGGACCAAGTCGATATTATTGAGTCACTTATCAAATGAAGTTCATTCCAAGAGCATCAATCAAGATCTTTCAAATGAAGTTGACTTAAAACACACATGAATTCACGCTCTTGAGATCTCTATGCAGCTGCCAGTGATGCCCTCGTGTTGGACACGAACCAAGATGCGGCCTCCGCAGCCAATGCACTCGGATACGAACCCAACGATTCGAGGTGCTGGTGATTCAATGGCAAATGCTGGACACAAGAACACGTTTTGGGTTCGAACAGGGGCATGTTGCAAGCTACACGAAACACGTGCTTTGCCGTCATGCTTTGATCACTCTGGTAGCTACAACGCGGATATTCCTTCATGAACCTGAGTCCCCAAAGTTGACAGTTCGTCTGAATCAACTCAGTTTTCCAATACGTACAGGATTTGGAAAGTTCAAGGCAACGAATGTTAGCAATCTCGATGATGGGAGTCGCTTCCGACAACAAAAACGAGAACGTGCGAAAGTGTTTCTTTTGCAGCTCAAGCCTTCGTGCCTTAGCAATAAGGTTCAGATTTTGCAGCTCAAGCCTTCGTGCCTTAGCAATAAGGTTCAGAACCGGACTGCCTCCGGTGCATGGAGGGCTAACCCAGCACAATACCAGCAAGGTTGGGCGCTTCTCAATCACATGGTTTAACCATTCGATCAGCCTCCCCTTGATGGCCTGAACTGGACAGTCCTTGGTGATTGCGATCACACCCAAGCTTCGGAATTCAGGCAAGTCTTGGATTTGGGAGAAGCCTGCATTGGGGTTGGTGAACATATCGATCAACAGGTGTGTGATGCGCTTTGCCTGGACTCCTGCCATGATGCAATCCAACCTTTCACAAAAATCTCGAATGGGGCGCGCGTCAGGCTCTTCGATTGAGGCCTCGAGGACATTCTGTCCCCATGACTGGTCTGCAGTCTCGGTTGGCTGTGCGTCAGCCAGGTTCTTGTCAAGACCTTTGGACTTCTTCTTGACTTCAAACTGCCATGTTTCGGGGGCTGAGGATTCGACAATACCAATTTGGCACCTGTGGAACTCGGTGAGATCTTTGTTCAAGATCTTGGTAAGCAAATCAGCTACACAGTACCTCCCTGAGATCCACGTGAGAACCAGGTGTCCGGCTTCAATGAGCGACTGAACAAAACATGTAGCAAGTGACATGTGTCGCACTCGTCTTGAAAGACCCTGGTTCTGAAGGGCGGCCAAACAACTCTGCGAACCCGAGAAAACAACAATCGGATAACTTTCCCGAATCCCATTGCTCCCTACACGGTCGAACTCAATCGTGGTGATGTCAGTCTCATGAAATTTTTCAAGTTCGGCCGGATCAGCGAAGTTCTCCAAAAACTCTGTGAGGTGTCTCAAACGTATGCATTCCTGGGAGATCTGGCAAACAGCAATCACCTCTGACTCACACGACGACAATGTGATGCAATGTTGCATTCTGCTGTATGCCTTAATGACATTTCCCTTCCAGTAAATGACTCCCCCACTTATCGATCTACGTTTCTCACTGTCGCTAGATCCCCATGAAGCGTCCGATACACCAGTCAGTCCTTCATAGAACGGAACGGTGTCGCTTTCAGCGGGGAATCGTTGGAATTGGTGGGCGACACTTCGGACGAACCTGAGATACTTACGAAGCATGTTCTCATGGATGTTCGTGGGATCGGACTGCCCGGTTGCCAGGAGCGACAGAAACCTCGAGTGGTCTGGACGCGATTGGCACCACCATGCCAGCTTGCCGACTATCTTCTTGTAACGGCTTGCAGCCTCTTCTGACAAAACTGTGACGGTGGTCGGATCGCGATGACCTTTCTCAAGGATGGCCAGCAGATCAGGCGGAACTGGTGATGCTTTGAGGTCACTGCAAAACGGCTCGTTCGTGAAAAGGTCTTCAAGGTAACTTGGGGGAACCCTGACCAACATTGAACTGGAGTGCTGAGGTCGAATGACTTCCCTCCCAAGAAACATGAGCTTTCCTCCAACACCTCATGAACTTGTGATGGAACCAGTCGTTTTGACTTTCAACGAAGCCGACAGTGCAGACCTCACATCATCAATGCCTCGTGGCGAAAGTGCACCTACAAGCAAATCATCTACGTAGACAAGCACTGCGGTCGGCACTCCTGATGGATGGGTGACACCTGCCAATATGGTCTGTTCTGAAGGACATGTGATGAGACCTGCATTATCTCGGAGGATTTGAGAACATGTTCCCAACCATGCTTTACTGGCCACACGCAATCCATTCATTGCACGGTGCAAGTCAAGGTAGACTGCGTGATAGGCATCAGCCCGGAGCGAAAGATCAGCAGGCAATCTGATGATTGCGCGAATGCCCTTCGGCAAATAGCTGTGCAAAAATGCGGTACTGATGTCCAAACTGGTCAAGTAAAGATCATAGTATTGCACTGCTGAAATGAAAGATCTGAAAGCCTCGACGCTCGGAGTGGCTGATGATATGCCTAAATTATGCGCGCTCATGGAACCTGAGGCAACCTCCTGAACGACGCATCGAGCTCTGCACTGATTCTGTTCCCCTTCTATTGTCTTGCTGGTCAAAACCCACCTTGAATTTATGATCTTCACTCCAAGCTCATGCGCCAATGCTCGGGCTGTCTCTTCGGAGATCGGATCACCAACGTGGAGTTGGTCCATTGCCAAGAGTTCTGTGCGTCGGCCAGACTTCACAAGTTCAGGACTGAATGTGGATTGCCCATCCTCTGAGATTCCCAATTCAGGTTCTACGAGATAGATCTTGACACCGCAGAACGTAAATTCTTCACTTCGAAGGCT